CAAGACTTTTATAGGAGCCAAATGAGCCACCGAACGAGAATTCTCCATTTTCCTCCAACAAGTTTCCCAGGACGTCATCTGCAAATATTCTTCACAGGGCATAGATTGGAGGTTCATTCCTCCTAGTGCTCCTCACTTATGGCTTATGGGAATCCGCCGTGAAAAGTTTCAAGATGCACTTCAGGAAAACAGTAGGAGCGCATAAGTTCACATTCGAGGAGTGCACCACTCTACTTATAAGGATCGAGGCGGTCTTAAATTCCCGGCCAATCTCATCTTTATCACAAGACCCGACAGATTTTACTGCCCTCACCCCCGGACACTTCTTCCGAGGAGCTCCTCTTTTATCACTCCCCGAAACGAACCATGAAGACTTATCTCTAATCAACAGATGGCAACGAGTTAAAGTTATCCGCCATCAATTTAGTAAACGATGGAAGGAGGATTACCTCAAGGACCTCCAGAAACGATACCGATTTAAGGAAACCCGCAAAGAACCAAAAGTCGGCGAATGCGTCCTCATTAATGATGACACACTCCCCCCAACGGAGTGGCGTCTAGGACGCATTATAAACACACACACCGGCTCCGACGGACACATCCGTGTAGTCGACTTACGGACTCAAACCGGCACTCTAACCAGACTGATCATCAAATTATGCTTTTTGGCCCAAACCGACGTCCATCCACCGCCAAGTGAAACAAACTAAATCTGTAGCTACAATATTTCACTACTTCTTGCCACAGCTTAAACCCACTGTCCTCTACACCGCCTTGCACCAAAGCATCGCCCCTCGAAACACTGTAGTTATGCCAATTATATATGCACCTTTATGCACTTACTCCCACTGTTTTCAAATATTATTGCGACAGCAATTTACTAAAGTCATCCCCCAAATGCCTCATGACAGGTCGAAATGAGTCAAGCACCGCAGCCTGCACCTAGATCGAAAGTGGTGATCGCCCCACAGCCGGCACCGCGGTCGAGAGTGGTAATCGCCCCCAATACGGAAGACATCGAATCTAAACGTTCGGAGGACTTCCAAAAATGTCGAGTATGCGCACGTCGTCGTGCACTACGCAGGTGTCCGCTATTCCAGGGCATGCAACCACATCAGCGGTATCTTTTGGCTCGTGCTCACAAGTATTGCACGAACTGCCTCGCACTATCGCATCCAACCAGCGAATGCAGCTCCGCCAGCACGTGTAGATTCCGCGACCACCAGCTACTCTCTTCTACATCGTAAGCCCTTGCAACCGGCTAGTATCAGCCTAGGTCAAAGAAACCATGCAGTTGCAATAGCTCCCGCCCCGGCCCGGAGTTCGAGCCGACGCAGACACGACAAGCCACGTCAAACAGCTGCACGTCCAGGTCACCGCTATCAGCCACAAAAGGTTGAAAAACGCACGATTCGCCGCACGGCCCAAGGACTGCGCACCGCCAAATATAAGGGCAGGGCCACTAAGTTGCTCGTGCACGAAGCACTCAGGGCGCTCAATGAGTTGCAAGAAGCACTAGCCGATCAAGACGTCTAGGGCGGGCAATATGTTGAAAGGAGGACCAAATAATCTACATATCACACATTGGATGTAATTGTAGATGTAGCAGATTAACAATTGTATTTTTGAATTGTATACTTGAATTTTATCTCAATCTATTTTATCTCAATTACTTATTTTACATTCATTGAATTTGTTGTATCAACATGAATTTACCATGTAAATCCTCTTTCTTGGGTGAACACCCAATGTTCAGCGTGAACACCACCAATCAATGTTTGAAGGTGTTGGCAGCGCGCTCGCGAGCACCTTGCAAGAAGCAGGATTTTGTGAAACCCTTTATGTATATGTACATATTTTCTTAGCCGAACTGTCACTAGATAGAAAAAATCCAATTCGTGCGGGTGCAAATTTACCAACTTATTGAATTGTTTTAACCTAAATTAAAGTCCTACGTGACGCAAAATTCGGTATTTTTTTATTGTGAATCAGTCTAATCCCCGGTAAAGTAAATAAACGTATTAAAAAAACACGTTGTTATTAGCGTATCGAGCAGAAGTCGCCGGTAAAATCCACAGGTGTCTTGTATACACCACTTCTCGCTCACGTAAAGCCTCCGCAAACAAATCGGGCTAAAGTCCAACGCTGGCCACCGATCTTCAGTGACCATCCTCCGTTTCCAGCCGCCTAGTTCGCAGCCGCCACCATTCTTCAGTGCCCATCCTCCGCTTCCAGCCGCCTAGATCGCCAACGCCCGCTCCAAACGAATTCGCCCCGCTGCCGCCAACTGCACCACAAACAGCCCCCTACGCTGTTCACAATTTATTATCAGTTTTAAATTGGTTGGCAACCAAGAAACGTACATACGTCAAAAACCGGTACTAGAAAAGCTTTACTTTAGACCAGCTTCAGTTGAAACGAGGAGGTTGTGCGCGCATGCTTTCGGCATTATAGAAAACAGTGTTGCCAGTAACTTCGTTAATAAAATCCCGTCCAATTATAATATATATCCCGTTTTGTACTAAAGTTATAACAGAAATCCCGCGCTGTATGTATCTATTATACATAAAATGCTTTCATATGAAGAAACATAAGCATGTACATAAGGGCGGGTGAATTTTTTTTTTACTATACGCGTATAGCATAGATAGATAATAGATTCTACAATAGGTCTAAAATCAATTTGGAGTTTGCCAAATTGCGAAAATAGTTTTCGAAGAAAATGTGGAATTTTTCACTTTGCGTCCTCTGGGAAATTTAGAAGTAAAAGATAAGTCCAAAACAAAATTGAAGCACTTTCTAACGGCACTGGGGCAAAATGCTAAGAAATCTATTTTTGCAATTTGGCAAACTCCAAATTGATTTTTGATCCATGGTTTCTTCCGCAAATTTGCTTAGAATTACTCGTAGAATCCTGCTGTGATATACGCGCATAGTCTAAAAACCCTCCCATACAAATTGACCCACCGTAATGTACATATATATGCAATATACAAAGGATTTATATGGATACTTCCACGTCAAAACGCATGCGGCTCTGCTCAAAAATGGTGGAGAGCTATCGTTGCTTTTAAGTACGGTGACCATCCGTCCTTTATTTTAAAGGACAGTCCTTTATTTTAACCCCCTGTCCTTTATAATTTTTGTCAAAATAAAGAACGCCATTTGACCTTTATTTCTTAAACTGTCCTTTAAATTAGCTTTGGATTTTAAAAGGTCAATTTTTAAACATAGAATATGAAAAAATAAAAATGTCCATAATGAAACAGAATGAAAACCTTCGTCAGTTTGTTTCGCACCCCACTTAAGGGTCACGAATCCTTGATAATAATGAAAAGGGGAAATTTATGTAATTGAAAAAAAAAAAATTTAACAAATATTTAGACATTTTCCCAGAAAAATTAATATAATTTGAGTAAAATTCATTGTCGACAAAATTACAGGGAAAGTTGTGCCCAGGATCGTGTTGCACGCCAAGTTTTCAGATCCACTGAAAAATAACAATAAACCTCCGCTCAATTATAATAAACGCATTGTGGCAGCAAAGGATGGCGAAGTCCTTTATAAGGATTTGGTTTAATTTTTCGGAATCGGTGAAAATCTGGTTACAGCGCCTTTCGAGAAGAGCAACTTGTACAATTTAATAATATAATTAACTGGCAAATATTTGATCTAAATTACCATCATACAAGTTGTATGTTCGTATTTTAAAATCATTGGGAAAAATGTCCTTTATTTTATGTTCGTTAATATGGTCACCGTACTTTTAAGATGTGAAAAGTTAGGTTTTTTTCTGTGACGGTAATCATTATGAGTAAAATAATTTTAAACAGCATTTAATCATTATGTTATGAGCAGGGAACGGATTTTTAGGACCTAAAAACCTATAAAAAAGGCAAAATAAAATAACGAAATAGGCTGGAAAAGGCAAAATAAAATAGCGAAAAAGGCAGGAAAAGGCACTAGGTATTGCAAAAAAGGCAAAAAAAGGCAAAACAAAATAGCGAAAAAGGCACTAGGTATCGCAAAAAAGCAAAATAAGGCAATAAAAAAAGACAGAAAATTCGAAGAACAATCAAAAAATACATTTATTTTAGAAATGTTTATATTACACGCAAAAATAGAAAAACTATGAACTAGTTTCATTATATGAAAAATTTGTACTTCGAATCTTTGACTATTTTATCCTTTCGAGTTTCTAACTCATAAAACTTTAATCTGTATAGTTGTAGTAACATTGAACCACAAGATGCATTTTGAAGTTCTCTGGCAGCATTTTCATTCGATTTTCGCGAAGAAAAGCCTTGAATGTACTAAATGTGCGCTCGACGTAAGTTGATACAAGTGGAGCCCAATTTAAATATGGAACGTTTGAAACGTTCATATTATCAGGAATAAGGGCGTTTTTGTCTCTAAGCCTACGTTAGCTGAGAAAACGGATTTAAATTTTTCCAACACCAATATGGCAAGAGGTCCCTGCGCTTCTATAAGCCGCATGGGCATGTGTATATTTTTTAATCTTAAAAAAAAAAATTGTAAATGCTATAATCACTTTTTTAAAGTTAGAAAAGGCAAAAAAGGCAAAAAAAGGCAAATATCTTAAAAAAGGCAACATCAAATGTGTATATATGGAATCAGGGAAAGCTAAATCGTGGACATTCTCAATCGAATATACTTTATCTCTTTAGCAGAAAAAAAGGCAATTTCCATAAAATCCGTTCCCTGGTTATGAGTTTAATTTTTTTCACTCTAAAATAAGGATTATTAGTGATTTTTATTTTTGTGCTCAGTGGAAATAATTATTTGATTTTTATTTTTTCGATCACAAATAATGATTATTTTATTAATTTTATTTTTTCGCTCAGAGATAATAATTATTATTGAGTTTTATTTTTCCACTTGAAAATAATGATCAGTCATAAAATTGAAAAGGCTATACAGACGCAACTAACTGAAATTTTCACCTGAAAATTTTGATGCTTATTCCTTTTTTAGGGTGTTTAGGGTATAGCTTTTGATTTTTTTGAATGATGATTATTCTTAAATGAAAAAAAAAATAAAACTCAATAATAACTATTATTTTTGAGCGAATTAATAAAAATCAAAATGTAATCATTATGTTTGATCGAAAAAATAAAAATCAAGTAATAATAATTACTTTTGAGTGGAAAAATAAAACTCAAATATTATGCGACAGTCAAAATCGGGATGGGATGAAACCAACGGTCAAAAACAAGTTATACGTGGCCCGGCGTTTCGCTGGGTCACGTCTAGGAATCGAGATATATCGATTTGAAGTTAGTATTTATCATATAGGGGAAATTGTCACCTTTGGTGGTCTTTTTTTTGACATAACTCGAGAACCACTAGTCCGATTTTGCTCAAACAAATTTAAAAAAAATCAAAAATTAATTAGAAATTAATACGACTTGCCTTTTTTCCGTTTTGGATTTTTTATGAATTTAAAAAATAAAAAAATTTAATATTTTAGGCAAAAAATATTTTTTTTCTTCATACATTTATTTTTACCGGCAAAACTGTTGATTATATAGAAAAACGTTATATGAACAGATTAAAGGAATTGTAATTTTTAATTTTTTTAAATTTGTTTGAGCAAAATCGGACTAGTAGTTCTCGAGTTATGTCAAAAAAAGGCCACCAAAGGTGCAATTTCCCATATATGATAACTTCAAATCGATATATCTCGATTCCTAGACGTGACCCAGCGAAACGCCGGGACACGTATAACTTCTTTTTTACCGATATAACTTTCCCCGGTAGTTTGAACCCTTCCCGATCACTGACCCCTACCATTTGTCTCACAGTGTTATTAGTTTTAATCTTTATTGGTTGAACTCGAAAAATAAAAATCATTTTAAGTTACAGTGGGACGTAGGAAAACAAATACGTGGGTATAAATAAAATTGTTTTACGACGATTACAACTAGTTGATTTTTTTTGGGTAAAGTTTAAAAAATAATGATTACCCTGTCCCTGTTTTTTTGTAGAGTCGAAGGTTATGTGGCGTTTATAAAAAATAAAGATTCGGTACTCAGTCAGCGTTTTCCGACCAGTTTCCAGAAAATTTTCCTATGAATCGTTTATGAAAATCCAGATGAGGAACAAAAATCGTAACAAAAGGTCACTATACTATATGTTTTTGGGATCGCTGAACCGGAATCCGGGGTTAGTTTGGTCTCACGAGGTTAGTATCGCGGTCATTTAAAGGTCAACTAGATGAACTATTGAAACCTCAGAGTGAATCCAATTTGACTGATTCAAATTTTCTGTGAAATATTAGCGAAGTGATTTTGGAAAAATCAACTTCCGAAATTGTCTATTAATTTTTATAAATGGCACCTAGTTTTACTAAGAATAAAACAAAGTAGTGACTAAAAGAGAAAATTTGATTGTTTTAAAATTTTGCCAAAAAATGTTGTAGAAGTGGAAAAAATAATAAAAGTTGGTCTAAATTTTAGATTTATTCTAAAAATTTTCCACATATTTGCAATGCGCCAAAAAAATTTATTACTTATTTAAATAATACAAATATCCTTCTTCCCAAACTCTTATATAAATTTAAAATTGGCTAAATAATAACCGAGCTTAAATTTGTTTAGTACCGGAAGTCATGCGAAAATGGTTTTTAAGAATAAGTTGGGAATTTTAGATTGTTAGAAAAATTTTAAACGCAGTTTAGTGAATTACTCGATCAGCCCTACGACCTGAATGAGGTGGATTAAAAAGTTTATGATCAGTGTAACACTGCGTAATAGAATCACTCAAAATACTTTTCCACTCATCGTTTAAATCAAACTGATCAACAACTGTGTATACCGCTATGCTTTCTAAAGACTTGTACTTCTTTAATTATATTACATTCATTTAAAACAAGTTCAGAAGCCATCCAAATTTATTTCATGTGAATGAAGGTCCGCTCATAAGGTTCATATGAACGTCGTTAACTTACCACAGAGAATGGCAGTCTTTTCTTAATTATCAATTACTAAATTTTATTTCTCGGTATGCTATGCAAAAATTCCGTTTTTGGACAGGAAATCCCATTCGCCCTTTTTAGTTATAAAATCCGGAAAAAAGGGCGAAATCCCGCAAGCTTTAAATAAAAAAAAAATATATTAGTATACCACGTTTAAATAAATGGACTAAAAATTAGAAAACAATATATCTCACTCCCATAGAATTTGATTTGATAACTTTTGATTTTGAAATTTTAGCATTTAGATTGAAAACGAAAAACGTGGAGCGCCTGCAATACAAAGCATTAGATTTAATTGACAATAGTCAAACTACATAACATAAAAAAATATAATTTCTACAGTGGTCGTTATTCATATACCCACATACATACATATAATACTCTTCATATCAATTCAGGTCTATTACATGCGACCCACGATTTTCGTTTCAATCTCATAAATTGTTTATAATGACTTTTGCTAAAATTTCAAAATAAAAAGTTATCAAAACAAATTCTATGGGAATGAGATATATTATTTTCTAATTTTTAGTCCATTTATAAAAGCGTGGTCTACTAAAAGGTTTTTTTTTATTCAATATATTTTCTACTTTTTAGTCTTGTCTGTATAAAATTTTGCAATAGATATTAAAATAATTCAACTTGCAGTGAAAAGAGACTAGAAGACTATGCAAGGAAAATGTTGTTTGCTCACGTTTTGTATATACATACAAATGTACATTAGGGTGGTCCAAAAACTGTACAGTCGGAATTGTAATGCTCTCACCCCCTAGGATTGTTCTATATCGAAAAAAGTATACCCCTAATTTTTATTTAAAAAATTTTTAGAGGTCGCTCAAAGTTTTCCATGTATTTTTATGTGGGAAAAATAAGATTTTTCTTAGAAATAGTATAGAAATCTTGAAAATCAACACTTTTCGATCGGAAAATTCGGTTCCCCTTTAGGCGACTTTCAATAATAATACCCAATTCTTTATTTCACTATTTTTTAATACTAACGACTTTTTATTGGTCGCCCCATTGCATTTTTCGGGGTAGTTATGGGTTTTTGGCGGACCTATAAATTAAAGTTGCGATGAAAAAATGGCTAAATAAAAAATTGGGTGTTATTATTGGGAATCTGTTGGAGACAAACAGAGTTTTCTTGTGGAAAAATATCATTTCTACGAAAAGTTGTTTATTCCCATATAAAATACATGGAGAACTTTGCGTGCTTTGAGCGACCTGTAAATATTTTTTAGTTTCAAAATAAAACAAGTAAGAAAGTCTAAGTTCGGGCGGAGCAGAACATTAAATACCCGGCGCAAGTATTAAATATATGTGGTTCACCTTTCCGAAAGCTACCGCTACATGGTAAGCTGGGGTGTATAAATTTTGAGTAAATTAGCGTCCTGAAATTTCGAAATATTGAAGTTTCAAGCATTTCTGAAATTTACCGTTATATGAAAAGCGGCCATAATTTTAGTCCGATTTCAATATTTTTCAACGTTTTGCTTTTATGTGGCAAGCACAATAACCATACCGAGTTTGGTACAAATTAATAGAACGGTTACCGAGATACATATATGTGATCATAAGAGGGTGGTGCCACGCCCATTTTCCAAAATTTTATCACAAACGATTTTCTTGGAAAAGAATTGTTGCAAGCATCAATTTTGAATAAATTAGCTTTAATATTTACTGATTTATAGAAGAATTCGTGTTTCGCTATTATACCGTTATATGGGATGTGGGTGTGGTTATTGTCCGATTTTAAAAATTTTCGGCCATTTGGAATGCTGTACCAAGGAAATTGGTGCAGCGGTTACCAAGATATACACATGTAATCATAAGTAGGCGTGGCTACGCCCATTTTCCAAAAATTTTTAATATTATTATTTTTCGTCTAAACATTATTGTAAATGTCAATTTTTTGTGATTAATCTTCAGTACTTCTGAAAATTACCGTTATATGGGAGGCAGGCGTGGTTATTGTCCGATTTTTCAATACCGTCCGTCCTACTCCCGAAAGAAGTGCACGTACCAAGTTTGGTTAAGATATCTCAATTTTTACTCGAGTTATCGTGTGCACAGACGGAGGGACAGACGGATGGACGGACGGACAGACAGTCACCGCTTAATCGATTTCTCTTTTCATTCTGATCGGTTAGTATACATTTGTCTATATCTATCTCGATTTCTCTTGCCTGTTACAAATAACCATTATGTGAGCAAAGTTATAATACCCTTGTGCACTAGTGCGCTCGGGTATAAATATAAGGGTATACCTTTTTTCGGTATAGAACAATCCTAGGGGGAGGGAGCATTAAAATTCCGACTTTACTTTTTCACATGCATTTTTGGACCACCCTAATGTGCATACATACATAAATTGATTTAAAGGAATGGCGTGTCGTCCATTTCCGCTGTAGCATATGTAGTGCATATTTTTAGGCGCAATGTTTTACTTCTTCTGGCGGGGCGATGTCTACCTCTAAGGTTTTTCTAATTGTACGTCTTTGATATGATACCTACGACGAGGTTGATATCTAGACTAGGTCTGCCATAAATACCTTTGACATATTTATAGTAAAATCGGTGGTCTGGATACACAACATTGCAAGTTGATAAAAGCGTTGTAAAATAAAGGTCACTTGAGAAAACGGCCCCAAGTCTTTCATTTAATAGTCAAGCTACATAACATATACCTAACATCTCTCCAGAGCAAACACAAATTTGCGATCGATATCCATATACCCACATATGTCCATAAATTTTTTATAATGACTTTTAGTAAAATTTTGGAATCAAAATTTATCAAAATAAATTCTGTGAGACTGCGAAAAAATATTTCCTTCATAGAAACGTGGTATATTAAAAAAACTGTATTTTTTACTTACCACGTTCTTAGGGATTGCTAAAAGCTTACGCTTCTCCACAGAAATTTGAAGTAGTTCCGGAACATTACACCAGTAGTCATCCGGGACATTAGCCATAAAAATTTGATTAAATGCACAAAATCCACAAGGTATGCAGGCAGGTAGACATATTCCAAAAACCAATAATTTTTGATACTTTCCAAATTCTCCAATTATTGGTAATAAATCGTCAAAGTCGAGAGATTCCTATGATATAAGTAAAACATAAATATGTATCATATATAATTGAAAGAAAAATGTCAATACATCAGTTTTTTCAGTTTCATTCCTTGAAAAGGTATTTGTGCAAGTATCAGTAATTATTTCGTTAGAATTAGCCATTGCTAAGTTATTGAAAGAGGTGTAATTATAAACGCTTACTTAAGACTAAAACTGTTTGAAAGGAAGCCATAAAAGTTAAACTTTTAATGTGCATGATACATTTATTTATGCATGACAGTTTTTATGATTTCATCAGTCCTAAAATTCAACTTTTGTTTGTAAAGTCGACGTTACATTATTTAGTCATAAACAGGCAACGGATTTTACGGAAATTGCCTTTTTTTCCGCTAAAGAGTTAGAGTATATTCTATTAAGAATGTCCATGATATAGCTTTCTCTGATTCCATATATACATTTGATGTTGCCTTTTCTACTTTTAATTTTAAAGGGCAAAGCAAAAGCTCTTATTCCAGATAATATGAAACCTTTTATACGTTCCATAATTAAATTGGGTGCCACTTTTATCCACACACGTCAAGCGCACGTTTAATATATGGGTAGGGCTTCGTCAAGTGGGCCCCGAATTTACCAAGATTAATATTTGTCAATGATATTCAGGCAGCGTCGAGTTTTGTTGTCAAAAAGTACACTGTGTAAATTTTGTTGCAAAATTCCAAATAGATTTTTTTAATCAACAATTTAAAATTTTTGTAGTGTTTTGGAAATTTTTGTTTTTCTTTGAAAGTATGTGTCTGATAAAAAAAATTTTTTGAGTCAACTTTTAGAAAACATTAAACTATACAATGAAATTATTTGCGTTTAAAATTTGTTTTCTGCTTTTCAATGATTTTTTTGTGAACAATTGAACATTTAAACAATTTCTGCGCCTCGTGGACGAAAATATTCACCAACCACGTATGTAATTACTCCTTAAATAACATTTTTCCTGATTTTTATTTTATTAGTCCAAAATAACTATTATTTTTGATTTTTGTCTAAAAAATCTGCAAATAACAGTTATTTATGATTTTTTAATTATATATCTTAGATAACAGTTACTGAAGAATTTTATTTATAAAAGTCATCAAAATAAATCAGTCACTGACTTCTATTTTTAAAATCATACTTATAAAAGTCATTTGTATAAGTCGCAGTAAATTCTGCTTCTCCAACACCTTCTTAACTGCCAAAAAATGGTAATGACTTTATACGTATGATTTAAAAAATAAAAGTCGGTGATTGATTTTTATTGATGACTTTTATAAACAAAAGTCTTAAATAACTGTTACACTGTGCAGCAAGAAAAATCAGCCTCAATAATTCCAACGCGGAATGAAAGTAGACCACTGGATAAACAAAACAGCCAACGGATTTTGCAAAGTTAGTTCGAATTTCCTTTCTATGGCCTCTTGAAGTTGAGATATTTTTGACCTTAATTTTCAATATTAGTGAGAATAAAAATATTTAGGCAAAAATGCATTACTTGGGCGGGCCTTAAAAAAAACCTAAAAACCGTTAAAATATGGGAATTTCAGAAAACCAAAACTTTTTTGGCGGTCGGACCTATGAGACCCCTGGGGTCCAAAATAGGGGCTCGAGAATGACTTAGAATAAGTCTCTATTTGATGAGTTTTATTTGTAAATCTTCTAAAAATAAGACGAAAAAATTATATATTTTTTTCCGATAACTGTCTTAGTTATCGAGTTATCGATTTTTTAAAAAATAATTTTTTCTTCGCGTGTTATTTTATGTAATTTACATATATTTTGTCAAATTTCCGTATTGTAATGGGTTAACAAACGTCGCCAGTATTTAGTCCCGTTATTGTTTATTTACTTGCTCTTGTTCATTGTTCAAACACATGACTTTACATTTGTTTCAATATAAACAAAAACAACATCATTTGGTGGGTACACTACCTACAGTTGCTGGGGAATTGACACAAAGGGCATCAACATTGCCCATAGCATCAATGAGATAAGTGAATATCACAGTCGTTAATGCCTTTCAATTAAGCAGTATGTATTGAATTCTAACGGTTTTTGTTTTAAGTTGCTTTTTATAACAACTGGAGCAGAGTCAGAGAAAAGCAATGCGATGAATTTTAGTAGATTTTTGAAAAGCATCGACGCTAGTCTAAAATATCGCGAAAGTTTCACTGAAGTTAATTTTATTCTAAATAAAAAGTGCAATTTTTTTAATAGAAATGGAATGTAATATTAATAACTTTTGTTACGTCTGTGGCCATTTCACTCCAAAAATGACAAAACATGGATATTTTACCGAAGAATTCAGGTGTGCTTATGAAAGTTATTTCAACCAACCAGTTATTTCTAATGTTTCCTGGGCACCAAATGTGGTTTGCAAAAAGTTTTACAGTGATCTTTTAAATTGGAAGCATAAAGTATTTAAATGTTTGCCATTAGGCGTACCGATGATCTGGACGGATCCAACCAGGCATCATAAATCAAATCGTTATGCGTGCGTAAACTCTGTTCGAGGTATGAACAGAAAAAACAGCAAGAATAAAGTGTATTTGAGTGTTCCAAGTGCTCAAACTCCGGTACAACACTCCGAAAACATTCCAGTGCCAAAACCTCTCAGCCCCGACGTGTCATCAGGTGTTACTCTTGAAAGTGCGTTCTCTGAACCTTTTTCATTGTATGACTGTGGAGCAAGTGTTTCAAATACTCCAATTTTAGTTACCCAAAACCAGTTAGATTTTATAGTGGCAAAGTAAGGTCTTTCTAAACGTAAATCGGAAGTTTTGGCTCAATTTCTGAACACCCAACATTTGTTAGCAGCTGGGACAAATGTCACAGCATATAGAAAGGGATTCTACAAAATTGTTTCGTTGTTAATGATGAGAAAACATCATCTTACTGTATGGACATCGAAAAACTTATGACCGAGATGGAAATTCAGTACAATGCAGATGAATGGAGACTCTTTATTGACAGCTCCAAAACGAGCTTAAAAGCAGTGTTGCTCCATCAAAGTAATTTGAAACCGTCAATACCAATTGCATACAGCAGTGAAACAAAAGAGAACTACGATGTATTGAAAACAATTCTTCATAACGTTAAATACGACAAACACAAATGGAAAATCTGCTGTGATTTGAAAGTAGTTGCAATTCTACGCGGTTTACAAGCAGGCTACATAAAACATATGTGTTTTATATGTGATTGGGATTCAAGGTATAAAGGTGACCAGTATTCAAACCCCACCTGGAAAGAAAGAGCATTGAGCAACCACACAAACGCCAATGTCATTCAAAAACCATTAGTACCGCAAGACAAAGTTTTATTGCCGCCCTTACACGTCAAACTCGGCATTGTGAAAAGTTTCTTGAAAACGGTAGCAAAGAGAGAAGAAGTCAGTGTAGTTTTGGCTCAAATTTTTCCTCGTCTCAGTGAAAGCAAACTGAAAGAAGGTAAATCTGTAATACATATAACATTTGTTGTATTAAAATAGAGATCCTTAAATCATATTGATTTCATTTAACTTTTTTTTAGGCGTTGTGAATGGCCCAGACATAAGAAAACTTTTGAAAACTCAATCATTTGATGACGTTTTAAATGATCCCGAGTTGATAGCTTGGCGCTCAATTAAAGAAGTTATACAAGGTTTTTTGGGAAAAACTAGATCTAATACCTATCAAAGCTCTCTACAAACAATGATGGCTGCATTCTCTAAAATTGGTGTCAACATGTCATTAAAAATTCACTTCTTACACCATCATTTGGACTATTTTAGTAGACAATTGGCCACCGAGTCCGACGAACAAGGTGAACGCTACCACCAAGTTGCAATTCCATTTGAAATACGGTAACATACGTTTTTTTTTAACACATACTTATAAAATACATTACAGATACAAAGAAAAAAGAGGCCTGACGCCATTCTAGCGGAAATTTGTTGGTGGAGTAAAAACTTGTTTCAAGACCTAGAAGATATTGAAATCAATAGGTCAGAGAGAGAAGCAGATATAGTGCGTGCTTCTGATTCCAAGTCAAATGTTAAAAATTACGATAGCCAACATTTCGAGCTCCCATCAACATCAAAAACGTCTAGAACCACATAGCTTAAAAGGCCCATTTACAAAAAAATTAATAAAAAATCGATAACTCGATAACTAAGACAGTTATCGGAAAAAAATATATAATTTGTTCGTCTTATTTTTAGAAGATTTACAAATAAAACTCATCAAATAGAGACTTATTCTAAGTCATTCTCGAGCCCCTATTTTGGACCCCAGGGGTCCCATAGGTCCGACCGCCAAAAAAGTTTTGGTTTTCTGAAATTCCCATATTTTAACGGTTTTTAGGTTTTTTTTCTAAGGCCCGCCCAAGTAATGCATTTTTGCCTAAATATTTTTATTCTCACTAATATTGAAAAAAAAGATCAAAAATATCTCAACTTCAAGAGGCCATAGAAAGGAAATTCGAACTAACTTTGCAAAACCCTTTGGCATTTTTGTTTATCCAGTGGTCTACTTTCATTCCACGTTGGAATTATTGAGGCTGACGGCGATGTGTCAAAATTTGTCTCACAGTGTTATCTAAGACATATGATATAAAAATAGAAAATAACTATTATTTACAGATTATTTAGATAAAAATCAAACATAATTGTTATTTTGGATTTGTAAAAAAAAAATATAAAAAAATAGTAAAATAAAAATAAAAGCATTTTATTATAGCACACTTTTATAAATGGAATAAAAAGTAGAAAATAATATTTCTCAGTCCCATAGAATTTGTTTTGATACCTTTTGATTTTGAAATTTTGCGAAAGGCATTAAAAACGATTTATGAGAATGGAAACGAAAAACGTGGAGCGCATGCAATACAAAGCATTAGACTTAATTGACGTGAGTCAAACTACATAACATAGACTACACATACATACATATATTCTTTTTCATATCAATTCAAGTCTATTACATGCATCGTATATACTTACAAGTATGAAATCCTATGCCCCTTTTTGTCTATTATCTTTCTAACAGCGGACGGGCCTGCCAAACTGAAAAGCATGATGGCGGCAGTGTTTGACAGGCATGTTCGACGATGCGAACGGCAATGGAAGGTAAGAAATGGAAGATGGGTGACATTAGAATGAAAGAATTATGAAATAGCAGAATGTCGAAC